ATATATAATATAGTAGGGGTGCAACGATGCAGAAAATTCATGGTTCGGTTCAATACTTTAGTCTCACGGTTCGATATTTTTTCGATACAAAAAAGAGAAATTTCCATGCCCCTTTTAAACTTGTAATTAATTGAAATTAATTATGAACATTTGTTTAACCTCACAAGTACAGTTTTTAAATTAAATATTGCTGAAACAGCAAGTTTCTCAGTGGATCTGCGCTCAAAAATGCAGCCTAGGTGGAGTTGTCGAACACAGATCCACTGATCCTTTGACACAAAACATCTTCAGAAGACAAGTTGATAAAGTAAATTTTTAAAATCTGTATTGTTCGATACGGTTCGATATGGGTACATGTATTGTTGCACCCCTAATAAGTGGACCTCATTCCTAAAAGTGACCACGTCACATATTGGTGATGAAGATACTGGTTGCACGTTGATAGTGCCTGATGCACGATGCAGAGCTTGTATGGAGGCATGCGGCGGGTGGATGAGGCTAACGACCGATCTAACTAAGGTGACGTATACAACTACAGAAACGAGTGCAATGATAGGTACTCTGTCAGCATTTGATGCAAAAGAGCATATTTGGGAAAAGTTCTGTGAGATTCTCTATCAATTTTTTGAAGCAAACAACATTAATGATGGGGATAAACAGAGAGCTATCCTTATTAGTGTAGTGGGACCAGCTACATACAAGCTAATGAGAAACCTAATGAGCCTGGACAAGCCTAGCTCCAACACGTACATGCAGTTGTACCACGTTTGACTCTGGTTCACGTCAGCCTACTGAATCTGTCAGCGGATATGTAGCAGAGTTGCGCCAGCTCGCTCAAGATTGAAGCTTTGGTGCATTGTTGGAACAGATGCTACGAAATCGCCTGGTGTGCAGGATTAATGAAGATAAGATGCGATGAAGGCTACTATCAGAGACCGATCTGACTTTTGGAAAAGCATTTCAGATTGCCATGGCCACGGAAGCCACAAACAGAAACACTCATGATCTGCAACAGAGCAGCATGTAACAGCATGAAGGCAATGGAGAAAGAGAAGAGAGGAAATTGGAAACAGAAAAAAAAAATGTTACCGATGTCATGGGGAAAAAAAATCACATCACCACTAGAGGCAGTAGTAGAGAAAAACCTGAAAGCTTCTGCGGGAGACTGATAAGCCAGAAGAAGTTACCCCAGGTGTTGTACAGAACTGGAAGCTGTGTTAATAGCATAAAAAGAAGTTCATATATATATATATATATATATATATATATTGAAAGTGGACCTCATTCCTAAATGTGGCGATCACAGCTACCATATACATTTTATTATTCTAACTTTGAGTTATGGTTTTCTTCATTTTAGCTTAACAAATCATAACCTTTAGCTATAGTTTGGATGATTTGATCTTTTTGCTGCAGTCTTTCAAAATGTAACTTTCAGTGAAGGATTTTTTTTTAAAATAATCGTTTTTGTCCAATGTTTCGCTGCTATTTCTAGATTATTTCTTCTGTTCTTATAGCTATTGTTTTGTTGATTTTAACTTTTGTTCTGCTCGTTTTCGCTTTGAGAATTCAATTCATTCTTTCTTCAACAATTTTCAGCAAAGTCATTTAGCGCTCAGCATTCACACGGTCGTTTCTCAGAAAACGCAGCTTCTCAACTCTCAATGTGCAGCCCGGCCCGCCTGAGCGTCACAGAAGCTCACTGATCCTGTTGCTTGTGGCGAGAATTTTGTCGGAGCGTTTCCCATCAGCCAGATATTGAGGCTGGCAGCAGGCAAATGAACGGTTTAGGGGAAAGTAATTGTAACAGGGATAATGAGGGCAATTATCCCTGAGCCTAATCTAAAGCATGATTAAAACAATAGTCTTAGGAAGAGAAACACTGAAAAAAAAAAGATAATTGGAAGAGTAGATAATGTCTCGGACTTCTAAAGGCCTCGATCCAGCAGAGGCTGGTGTTCAGATGGGCTCCAGTGGAGAAACGTTTGCAGAGCTGCAGACCCACATGTTTAATATGTGATGGTTTCAACCTGGTCTGAGACAGAACCCACCAAGGTAAAATAAAACATGTTTTTTTCTCTTTAAACCCTCCTCTTTATTTGTGGCTGTGATCCAGAACAGATCTATGTGTTTGTGTTTGTTTGGGGATGTTTTCGTTGACACATTTGCTGGTGCATTCAAACAGTTGAGACAGTGACAGATAGCTGTTGTGGGGAGGTGTTGCTTCTGTAGCTTTTGTTATTATCAAAAGGAAAAGATGGTCAGCGATGTTTTTGTCCGAGCCTGTGTGTGTATGTGTGTCTTTTACCAAAATACCTTATGAGCACTGGATGGATTTCATTGAAAGTTTCATAAAACAATCACTGGATGTATGTATATCTAACCTCAATCAGTTTTACAGATACTGACACAAAAGTTGGAGTGGTAGTAGCTGAGAGTAGTTACAAATAGGGCTGGGTTTAAAGGGATCCACGATTAGTTGTAACATTAAACTTTATTTGATAAACATTTATTGTAACTGTAAAATAAAGACTGTAAAATAATGTAGGCTGCTTAGTTTCGTAAATTTTTAAAAATTATATTTTAACACGGGGGGAGCCATTTTATTTACACACAAAGCATTCTGGGTAAATGATGACGTGGATAGGTCC